AACTCAGATATTTTCTTGTAAATTAAAAAAGTAATGCGTTACTTTACTAGTTACTTGAAAAAAGTATTCTGATTACGTAACTCGCGTTACTTGTAATGCGTTACCCCGAACACTGTTCACTAATTGTTTACGAGAAGCACACATGTAAGAGGCAATTAGCTGAATATATACTTGTTTAATTAGTGACTCTTAGCCTGCATTTTAAAATTTTTATTTGAATGTGGCTATTAACATTTTTATTTTTAAAGCTTTATTTGAATATGGCAACATAATATCACGCTAGTCGAGGGCAGCCCTAATGCATATTGACTAATTGTTTACGAGAAGCATAATAGGCTGACAATTAGCTGAATATATAGCCTACTTGTTTAATTAGTGACATTTAGCCTGCATTTTAAAATCTTTATTTGAATGTGGCAATTAACATTTTTATTTTAAAACCTTTGTTTGAAATAATAATGATAATATTACGCTCTACAATATTTCTATGAATAAATCTCTGACAGAGACTATCAGCCAATCATAGTTAGTAAGCATGCTGACATCATCCACAGCAACGAGCTCAGCCCCGCCTCCTTACTCTTAAGGCTTGTTCACACCGGGACAAATATCGCGCGCGATTATCGCCGACGTTTAACACCTCGTGACTAAACAAAGGGCGCCAATGTGAGTGTGCACACCGACGCGCAAAACGCGAGGCATAAAAGCGTCATTTTTTTTAAAACGCCTCGGGCTAATTTTTTTGGTTTGACGCGCTGCGTTAAAAACTGGCCGACCAATGAGATTGGCGCTTTTGTTCACGTGCCTGGAGCTGCTGAAGTTACAGTAAAACACGACTTGGTGGCGCTCAAGCACAAAACAGTCTTGCCGAGCACACATTGATACCTAACGACAAAGAGGAAGTAAGTAGACCAAGAAGATGCATCGAGGCAAGATGAATGTAGAGCTGCTGGTCTCATTGGTGTCTGAACACAAAGGGCTTTATGACAAACGCAACTACAAAAATCTCGATAAGAGGGAGTTGTTATGGAGAGGAATTGCAGATCAAATAGGATTCGATGTGTACCGGGGTAGTTCTGTTTTTCATTAAGCGCCATCTAATGTCAGGGAGTGAATTTGCACATTCGCTCGGCTCATCGCCTGCGAAAATCACTTGGGTATGAACTCAAAAGACGCATCGAAAAACGTTGGCGATAAGCACGCACGATAATCGTCCCGGTGTGTACGAGGCTTTAGTTTAAGACTTCTATCTATTCCTTAGTAAAAGTTTGTCTCAGCAGCTTTGTGAATTGATTCTAAGAGAAAACTCTTAGATAAAAACTTTTACTGCTATTTTGGAGAACTCTTAGCGGAAGATCAAATGTTTTGTGAATACAGGCCCTGATCTGCAGGATGTTTTGTGGTTCCAGGCTCTCTGGGAGTTTGGGTGAGTGTGCAGTCATACTATCTAAGTTTTTAGATAAAGAGATCAAGTCTAGATATAGTTAGACAAACGCTTGTGTGTGATTTACTCACAGGGCTCTCGACTGACACAGAGAGGTGCAGGACTCTGTCTGGATGCCGAAGGGTTTGGAATTCCTACTAGTTTGTTCTTGGCCATCTTGGTGTTGGCTTTAGCAAACTCCAGCCGTAAAGTCTGGGGAATATCTGGGTCAAAGCGAACGCCCTGACAAAGAGGAACAAACATCATTATAGCAAACGTGCTGGATCCATCTCATCCTCACATCACACTCTTATGATATGAGCTTGACATGATGTGTGCTTTTTCATCTCATTCATAACGCAGTGGATCTCAGGTCTGTTCTGATGGGTCACAGGTATCAGGGGAAACAATGCTATAAGAAATGCTGAAGAACGTCATTCCAGACACCACAGATCCACTGCAGTCTGTCTACGGCCACAATAGATGCAGTATTACACATGCTTCACACCGCTCCGACCCACCTGGACAATAAAAACTGCTTTGTGGGGCTACCATATGTGGATTTAATACTGTCATAGCTGATCTACGAGCTGCTAGATCTGGGCCCTGGATGTCCTCGCCAGCAGACAGCGGTTTGGATTGGCAGTGAAACCTCTGGCCCTCAACACTGGCATTAATGGAGTTTGCTGACAGTCTGATCTCAGTGATGATGAGATGGGCTTCTAATGCAGCCGGTGATCACGCACACATTCATATCAGAGAGGACAATGGCTTCAGATTTTCAGGGAGGATGAGATTAATTGAATAATGCTGAAAATCAAGTATACTGCATTTTCAAATGGCAAAGAAAGTCTACTTGTGGAGATTTGTGTTTGTGGGGTTAAACTCGGACGACTGAAGGCAGAGACAATCAGCTGTTCTTGCACATTCAACACTTCTGCAGTTGATTTTTCACCAGTTGGTCAGAACTATATCAAGTCAACCTCTAATGTAATTTTACATCAGAAACAAAGAGATGAACTATATTAAAAATACTTTTCAATACATTTTCAATCCAGCTATCTGTGTGACGTAAGAAATAGTTCATCTATGAGTCAAAATTGACGTCAAGTTTAGATGATATTCACACATCAACGCCTGCAATCAAAAACTAACCAGTTTTGAACAGTTCACTTCAAGACAGTAACCTATACAAAGTCATGGGAAACAACCAAATACAAAACAAAGCCATTTTAATTAATACTGTCTTTCATTATGTGTGCATCTAATTTTAAGATTTATTAACTGCAGAGCTCAAATCCTCTTAAGGTCAGTCTCTCCTGTTCACACTGAGATTAAAACCAAATCCTGGATCAATAAAAACCAGAGAGGAAGATGAAGCTCTTTAATCTATGGATTGTCTCGTTTTCAGGGAAAAAGAAAAATGTGTAAAAGTGTCTTCTGTCAGAATCACCACACGAGGAGCCTTTGGTCTTTTTTTAGCAGAGTTATGTTGAGATGAAGCGTTAAACTTACGTTCAGGGCGTTCTTAGCAGTCTCCGCTTCTGAGCGACTGTCAAAACTCACAAACCCCACCAGCTGCAGAAACACAGAAATCAAGGTAAGAAGAAGAAGAAGCTCTTCAAACTGCACAGAACAACGGTCTGAGACAGATTCATGACTATACTGAGATACAGAGACGACTGAGGGAAAGTCAGCATGAAATGACATTCAAAGCACATTTTACTTGCTTTTATTGTGTGACTAGCATTGACTGCTGTCACTGATAACACTTTATTTGACTTTATTAGTGAAGATACTGCATAGACTTCCACTGATTTTCTATCAGCTAACCCAACACCTACCCCCTAAACTCACCCATTACACAAACATGTGCACAACACTAGATTCACAACAACAACATCTGCTGGCTGATTTATAAACCTTTTGAATATAACACACACACACACACACACACACACACACTCACTCTCTCTCTCTCTCTCTCTCTCTCTCTCTCTCTCTCTCTCTCTCTCTCTCTCTCTCTCTCTCTCTCTCTCTCTCTCTCTCTCTCTCTCTCTCTCTCTCTCTCTCTCTCTCTCTCTCTCTCTCTCTCTCTCTCTCTCTCTCTCTCTCTCTCTCTCTCTCTCTCTCTCTCTCTCTCTCTCTCTCTCTCTCTCTCTCTCTCTCTCTCTCTCTCTCTCTCTCTCTCTCTCTCTCTCTCTCTCTCTCTCTCTCTCTCTCTCTCTCTCTCTCTCTCTCTCTCTCTCTCTCTCTCTCTCTCTCTCTCTCTCTCTCTCTCTCTCTCTCTCTCTCTCTCTCTCTCTCTCTCTCTCTCTCTCTCTCTCTCTCTCTCTCTCTCTCTCTCTCTCTCTCTCTCTCTCTCTCTCTCTCTCTCTCTCTCTCTCTCTCTCTCTCTCTCTCTCTCTCTCTCTCTCTCTCTCTCTCTCTCTCTCTCTCTCTCTCTCTCTCTCTCTCTCTCTCTCTCTCTCTCTCTCTCTCTCTCTCTCTCTCTCTCTCTCTCTCTCTCTCTCTCTCTCTCTCTCTCTCTCTCTCTCTCTCTCTCTCTCTCTCTCTCTCTCTCTCTCTCTCTCTCTCTCTCTCTCTCTCTCTCTCTCTCTCTCTCTCTCTCTCTCTCTCTCTCTCTCTCTCTCTCTCTCTCTCTCTCTCTCTCTCTCTCTCTCTCTCTCTCTCTCTCTCTCTCTCTCTCTCTCTCTCTCTCTCTCTCTCTCTCTCTCTCTCTCTCTCTCTCTCTCTCTCTCTCTCTCTCTCTCTCTCTCTCTCTCTCTCTCTCTCTCTCTCTCTCTCTCTCTCTCTCTCTCTCTCTCTCTCTCTCTCTCTCTCTCTCTCTCTCTCTCTCTCTCTCTCTCTCTCTCTCTCTCTCTCTCTCTCTCTCTCTCTCTCTCTCTCTCTCTCTCTCTCTCTCTCTCTCTCTCTCTCTCTCTCTCTCTCTCTCTCTCTCTCTCTCTCTCTCTCTCTCTCTCTCTCTCTCTCTCTCTCTCTCTCTCTCTCTCTCTCTCTCTCTCTCTCTCTCTCTCTCTCTCTCTCTCTCTCTCTCTCTCTCTCTCTCTCTCTCTCTCTCTCTCTCTCTCTCTCTCTCTCTCTCTCTCTCTCTCTCTCTCTCTCTCTCTCTCTCTCTCTCTCTCTCTCTCTCTCTCTCTCTCTCTCTCTCTCTCTCTCTCTCTCTCTCTCTCTCTCTCTCTCTCTCTCTCTCTCTCTCTCTCTCTCTCTCTCTCTCTCTCTCTCTCTCTCTCTCTCTCTCTCTCTCTCTCTCTCTCTCTCTCTCTCTCTCTCTCTCTCTCTCTCTCTCTCTCTCTCTCTCTCTCTCTCTCTCTCTCTCTCTCTCTCTCTCTCTCTCTCTCTCTCTCTCTCTCTCTCTCTCTCTCTCTCTCTCTCTCTCTCTCTCTCTCTCTCTCTCTCTCTCTCTCTCTCTCTCTCTCTCTCTCTCTCTCTCTCTCTCTCTCTCTCTCTCTCTCTCTCTCTCTCTCTCTCTCTCTCTCTCTCTCTCTCTCTCTCTCTCTCTCTCTCTCTCTCTCTCTCTCTCTCTCTCTCTCTCTCTCTCTCTCTCTCTCTCTCTCTCTCTCTCTCTCTCTCTCTCTCTCTCTCTCTCTCTCTCTCTCTCTCTCTCTCTCTCTCTCTCTCTCTCTCTCTCTCTCTCTCTCTCTCTCTCTCTCTCTCTCTCTCTCTCTCTCTCTCTCTCTCTCTCTCTCTCTCTCTCTCTCTCTCTCTCTCTCTCTCTCTCTCTCTCTCTCTCTCTCTCTCTCTCTCTCTCTCTCTCTCTCTCTCTCTCTCTCTCTCTCTCTCTCTCTCTCTCTCTCTCTCTCTCTCTCTCTCTCTCTCTCTCTCTCTCTCTCTCTCTCTCTCTCTCTCTCTCTCTCTCTCTCTCTCTCTCTCTCTCTCTCTCTCTCTCTCTCTCTCTCTCTCTCTCTCTCTCTCTCTCTCTCTCTCTCTCTCTCTCTCTCTCTCTCTCTCTCTCTCTCTCTCTCTCTCTCTCTCTCTCTCTCTCTCTCTCTCTCTCTCTCTCTCTCTCTCTCTCTCTCTCTCTCTCTCTCTCTCTCTCTCTCTCTCTCTCTCTCTCTCTCTCTCTCTCTCTCTCTCTCTCTCTCTCTCTCTCTCTCTCTCTCTCTCTCTCTCTCTCTCTCTCTCTCTCTCTCTCTCTCTCTCTCTCTCTCTCTCTCTCTCTCTCTCTCTCTCTCTCTCTCTCTCTCTCTCTCTCTCTCTCTCTCTCTCTCTCTCTCTCTCTCTCTCTCTCTCTCTCTCTCTCTCTCTCTCTCTCTCTCTCTCTCTCTCTCTCTCTCTCTCTCTCTCTCTCTCTCTCTCTCTCTCTCTCTCTCTCTCTCTCTCTCTCTCTCTCTCTCTCTCTCTCTCTCTCTCTCTCTCTCTCTCTCTCTCTCTCTCTCTCTCTCTCTCTCTCTCTCTCTCTCTCTCTCTCTCTCTCTCTCTCTCTCTCTCTCTCTCTCTCTCTCTCTCTCTCTCTCTCTCTCTCTCTCTCTCTCTCTCTCTCTCTCTCTCTCTCTCTCTCTCTCTCTCTCTCTCTCTCTCTCTCTCTCTCTCTCTCTCTCTCTCTCTCTCTCTCTCTCTCTCTCTCTCTCTCTCTCTCTCTCTCTCTCTCTCTCTCTCTCTCTCTCTCTCTCTCTCTCTCTCTCTCTCTCTCTCTCTCTCTCTCTCTCTCTCTCTCTCTCTCTCTCTCTCTCTCTCTCTCTCTCTCTCTCTCTCTCTCTCTCTCTCTCTCTCTCTCTCTCTCTCTCTCTCTCTCTCTCTCTCTCTCTCTCTCTCTCTCTCTCTCTCTCTCTCTCTCTCTCTCTCTCTCTCTCTCTCTCTCTCTCTCTCTCTCTCTCTCTCTCTCTCTCTCTCTCTCTCTCTCTCTCTCTCTCTCTCTCTCTCTCTCTCTCTCTCTCTCTCTCTCTCTCTCTCTCTCTCTCTCTCTCTCTCTCTCTCTCTCTCTCTCTCTCTCTCTCTCTCTCTCTCTCTCTCTCTCTCTCTCTCTCTCTCTCTCTCTCTCTCTCTCTCTCTCTCTCTCTCTCTCTCTCTCTCTCTCTCTCTCTCTCTCTCTCTCTCTCTCTCTCTCTCTCTCTCTCTCTCTCTCTCTCTCTCTCTCTCTCTCTCTCTCTCTCTCTCTCTCTCTCTCTCTCTCTCTCTCTCTCTCTCTCTCTCTCTCTCTCTCTCTCTCTCTCTCTCTCTCTCTCTCTCTCTCTCTCTCTCTCTCTCTCTCTCTCTCTCTCTCTCTCTCTCTCTCTCTCTCTCTCTCTCTCTCTCTCTCTCTCTCTCTCTCTCTCTCTCTCTCTCTCTCTCTCTCTCTCTCTCTCTCTCTCTCTCTCTCTCTCTCTCTCTCTCTCTCTCTCTCTCTCTCTCTCTCTCTCTCTCTCTCTCTCTCTCTCTCTCTCTCTCTCTCTCTCTCTCTCTCTCTCTCTCTCTCTCTCTCTCTCTCTCTCTCTCTCTCTCTCTCTCTCTCTCTCTCTCTCTCTCTCTCTCTCTCTCTCTCTCTCTCTCTCTCTCTCTCTCTCTCTCTCTCTCTCTCTCTCTCTCTCTCTCTCTCTCTCTCTCTCTCTCTCTCTCTCTCTCTCTCTCTCTCTCTCTCTCTCTCTCTCTCTCTCTCTCTCTCTCTCTCTCTCTCTCTCTCTCTCTCTCTCTCTCTCTCTCTCTCTCTCTCTCTCTCTCTCTCTCTCTCTCTCTCTCTCTCTCTCTCTCTCTCTCTCTCTCTCTCTCTCTCTCTCTCTCTCTCTCTCTCTCTCTCTCTCTCTCTCTCTCTCTCTCTCTCTCTCTCTCTCTCTCTCTCTCTCTCTCTCTCTCTCTCTCTCTCTCTCTCTCTCTCTCTCTCTCTCTCTCTCTCTCTCTCTCTCTCTCTCTCTCTCTCTCTCACACACACACACACACACACACACTGACACTCTCTCACACACACACACACTCGCGCACACACACACACACACACACACACACACTATCAGCAGTGTTGGGGAGTAGCTAGCTAGCGACATTACTAACATCATTACATTTTTTTCAGTAGCTTGACAGTAGCTCTGCTACTTTTAAAACAATGTACTACTTTTTCCAGCAAATAGCGGCATAGCGCGACAATAGCTTCATTCTATTTTGTGAACCTGCGATGGACTGAAGCAGCGCAGCATCTTTTACCAGAGTTCATACTAAAATAGTGGATTACCACCATCTATTGGAATATCACGCATCTTACAGCTTCATGTTTATATATTCATATATTTATTTATTATTTTATTTTTTTAAATAACATTTTGCGAGTAACAGCAGTTGAAATCCAATCCATGTAGTATTCTAACAACTGGTAAGTAACATTAAGTAAGAACTTTTTGGGGCTCTTTTTAAGGAGAGCGTTATATGATTACCATAAATGATGTAATGATGTTCAGGAGTGGGTTAATATTTCAAATTCAACACACACTACTATCCATGATGGAAGAAAATCAAGAGATCGGGGGATGGAGATAATTACAAATAGCCTTGTTTGTCCAAATTTATGTCCCTCAAAGAAATACATCAAGCACTAATTTAAAGATGCACATACAGGTGAGTCATTTTAAATGTGTTAATTGTCCTGCTTTTTTGCACTCGACATCAGATGTCTATCTCATTACTTGATTCTCATTCATCAGTCTGATCTGCCCCGCCTCAGTTTTGTAATTAACCTAAAAGACCAATAACATAGTTAGTGGTGGCTCCATTGCTTTGGCAAAGCATCTGTTGCTCAGAAAAGGAAATTGTGAAAAGCTCAAATGTTTAATCATTTCAAATAAAGAAATTAAAACATAATAATTACTGCAATTTTACTACTTTTGTGTAAAGTGAAAATTAGTATATTCTGAAACATGCCTTTATTTTGTAGTGCAGTTGTGTATTACACTATCTGGCTAATATATTTCTGTCTTGCATAATAATAATAATAATTTTTATTATTATTATTATTATAAAAATTGTATAAAATCATTAGCATTTTTTCCTTTGTAATGTTAGCTTTTTCCTCATTTATTCTATCCTCATTCGGAGATTGCTTCCATCTAAACTGAAAGAATTACAGAGAATGCAGCAACAATTCAGAAATAAGATGACAACAGCCTGCATTCAAGAACAGACCTCAAGCTCGTCCAGTGCAGTATTTCAGAGTGTCCCGGGAAAACTTCAACAAACTGGTCCTGATTTTTGTTAGTCAGGGCCTTCATCACCTCAGTATTTTTGAAAGGGAAGAATTTAAAGAATTACTCAAACAGATGTCTACATGATAGTGATGTCTATAAATAGTGCTGGGCGGTATACCGGTTCATACCGAATACCGGTGTTTATTTTTGTTATGATACGAATTTTTAAAATACTGCAATACCGGTGAAACCGGTATAATTTTGAAAAATACCGTGATATACATTTTTGGTCATACCGCCCAGCACTATCTAGAAAGACACTGGTCAAAATGTTGGATGAGAAATGCTTCCATGAAGGCAGATATATGTGAAGTTCTGTCTGAGCAGGAATAACAACCACAGATACATGGTCTGATAATACCAAGAGCTATCTGGGAGTGACTGTCCACTGAACAGATTCAGAGACATTCACAACCTCTTCAGGGGCTTTAGCTTGCTGAGGATGAAGGGAAGACACAGAGACGCTGGAAAGTGTTCACATGGAGCTCAGCATTCAAAGCTAAGCAGTGTTAACCACTGCAGACAAAGGTTGGTGTTTGGTGTGTTTGCAGCTGAAGAAGAGGTGACTGAAGATGATGAAGAAACTGATGCAGAGGCAGATCTTGAGTTTACTGATGTTGCAGCATTTCTATATGAGTCAGAGAAAGATGACTAGCACTTGCCCATCGACGCTGTGCCTCCATACACACACTCAACCAAAGATGCTGAGGCAGCAGTGGAAGACCCTGCATTTACAAAGGTTTCAAGGGCCACTTTTGCCAAATGTCAAAGCCTTTGGAATAAGCAGAATAGAAGCACACAAGCTTCTGACACCATTAAAGACAGACTTGGATGCATGCTGGTTGTGCCAAATGTAACTCGATGGAATTCTGCACATAATGCAATGGATCGACTGAAACCTGTATTGAAGAGAAACCTCAAGAGCTCCATGATGTTTGTGAGAAAATGGGCCTTCCACGGCTGAAGAGATGACATTCATCAAAGAATATCTAAAGGTGAAACTGAACTGAAAAGAATGTATTGAATCAATCAATTCAATACATTTACTTGTGTAAATATTTTAGTGTTTCACAGAATCCCATATTTTTATAATAAAATAATACCATAATTATTTAAAAAATACAAAAAAATAAAAATAAAGTATACACTGTTTGTTAAAGGGGTCATATGACGTTGCTAAAAAGAACATTATGTTGTGTATTTGGTGTAATGAAATGTGTTTATGCAGTTTAAGGTTCAAAAAACACATTATTTTCCACATACTGTACATTATTGTTTCTCCTCTATGCCCCGCCTTTCTGAAACGCGTCGATTTTTACAAAGCTCATCGTTCTGAAAAGCGAGGTGTGCTGTGATTGGCCAGCTATCCAGTGCGTTGTGATTGGCCGAATACCTCAAGCGTGAGACGGAAATGTTACGCCCCTTACCATACTGTGATGATGCCCTGTCCGGCCGGAGCGACGAGACAAAAACATTAAAACACATTATAAACGAGGCAATCGTTGCATCGAATTATGTATGTCGAATTACGTTGCAGTGGGGACATAATTACGGATTATAATGACTTATACTGTCTTTTTACGCGTTGCGTTGCATCGCGCCGCGTAAACATAAAACCACGTCTGCATTTGTGATCGGAGAAATGACAAACAACAAGCCCTACTCTACACTGCTCAAAAAACTCGCTTTCAATATATCAAATATAAAAACTCTTTAAATATAAAAACGTACTTAGTCTTAACTCTTTAGATTTGAGACTTTAGTCTTTGCAACTTTACAGATCTTCTTTATGCACCAAGAGCTTGTAACACTCCAAAGAGAAAGGAAAATTTGAAATCGCATCATATGACCCCTTTAATCACATTCATCTCAGATTTAAGTGTTAACTCTTAAGAATACAATAATCAACATGAATTATGCATCCTGTGATTTTCCTGGTGTATTGTTGTCACTCATATTGTCATGTTTTGTTCTGTGTTATTTCACAGCTCATGCACCAGTGTCCAAGGCCCTCAATGCTCTCCAGTCATCATACCTCGGAGACTTGGCCCCTTGGTGAGAAGCTGCAGTCAATCCAGCAAGAAAACCTCTAATACTGCGGGCCATTAGTTGATGCCATCATCAGTGGAGTGAGCAGACCTTCAGTTATCTTTCCAGTAAACTCTATTTGATGCCAGCGGCTTACACACCGAACGAGCAAAGAGATAAAACAGCAGTTTTCATCACGTAGAGCCAGATGATTCAAGAGAGTCAGAAAATGAAGGAGATGACATCTCAGCTTATTCTCCAGGAACCAGGAGCATGTTTTGGATTAAGTGGACAGTTCTCTGCAGTCTACAGCAACCAAACCTGATCGTGCTTTCCAGAGAGTCTTCATTAAGTGCAATAATGTAGCGGTTGTTTAGTGTTGGAAAAGACATTTACCTTCCAAAACACAACCGTCTTTCTGAAAGACATTTTGAGAAGCTTCTCTTGTGTTGAATTAGCAGATCTTCAGTATGAATACACATGGAGTTGGCAGCTCTTATTAGTCTGAAGGACACTGATCTCAATCCTGGACTGATGTGTCAAACCGTGCCTGTTTTTACTTGGACCACAATACTTTCTAACTTGTGTATCATATTCCAAGCATTCGCTCCTTTTGTAACACAAACTATAAGATGTTGATCAGGAACAGGTCATTGTTTTGGATGAAGTGTCACACGGTATTTTTAAGTTACTTGCAATGCTAAATTTGTTGCAATTTTGCACTTTGACTTTTCACTGTCTGAAATATTTGAATAGTGTGGTAATAAAACAATAGTTAATAACATCCTAATTATATTGGTATTCTTTTAAATATCAAATATTTTACTGAAAACATTCCAATGCTTATTCAGTTATTTGTAATACACATCATTGTGGGAAAAAAATGTAGTTTCAATGTAGCTAGCTACTTTTTCAGAAGAGTAGCTTGACTGAAGCTTAACTACTTTAATTTATGAGTAGCTTGTATCTGGTCAAGTTTTAGAGAAGCTTCTTCAACACTGACTATCGGTCGCTCGCAGACACAGTGGTCTTCATTTTAAGATAATAATATTTTCTAACCCTAAAATGTCCTCATTATCACACGGGAAGTGTGTCTCCACATCCTTCATGCTTTTGAAAGAGATAAGAAGCATTTCTAAAAATACACACACTTCAAGTATTGAAAGCTTCACAAAGAAAGAAAGAAAGAAAGAAAGAAAGAAAAGTAGTATATGAGGAGATGACATGTTAACATCCTATGGAGTAACTAGCTAAACTCAATGTATAACTATTTTAAACAGATTTTAAACTCACAGCACTTGAGACTTAACATGAACTATTTCTATTTTTCTAAGTTCATTTGTTACATCACAGGAGCATTAAACTAGTGATTGCAAACGAGATTAGAAATGATGAGTAAATATGAACAGGACCTAAACATAAACACACCAAACACATCTCCAACAGTGTCTAGCTCGAATGACGTGTTATAAAACAACTCACAATACATCCATCCTGCAACCTCATAGCAACCAACCAAAGCACCCTAGCAACACCCTAAACACCATCCACAACACCCAAGCAACTACTCACAATAACCTAGCAACCACTCACAACACCCTAGCAACCACTCACAATACCCTAGCAACCACTCACAACACCCTAGCAACCACTCACAATACCCTAGCAACCACTCACAACACCCTAGCAACCACACAGCAACATCCTCTTCGTAACCGTCTTTTGTTCTGACTGACTGCACATCTTAAGAGCTTCAAATCTCAAGCTTTCTAAACGACTGCAAACTTTTGTAAAGCTTTCTCAAGCCACCATCACAGTTAGACTCGACAAACCTCTTTTATCTAGTTAACATTGCTGTGATTGTGTTTCTAATATAACATCTGAGGGAGTGACGCACATTTCACAGCTTTAGAAAACAACTTTAGAAAACCTTGGAAAAGTAAAAAGGGCACATTGAGAATATTAATGCATCATACAGGAATAATACGCATGACATACTGTACTTGTGATTCATATACTCAGAGAAATCATATATTTCTCACCTGTTTGGAGGTAAATTTGATTAAGGACCCTTCGTAACCCTAATGAAGAGAATCAGAAATGAAGCACAGTTCATGTTGACAGTAATTTCATTTCATTCATGGAAGGAAAACACAAAATGTTTGTCTCTTGTGGCAGAGGTGGACAAAGTACAGATACTGCTGGTCCAATATTGCTCCATTACACGTGAGCGTTGTAAAGACAGATATTTACTTAAGTAAACGTACAGAAGTATTTGCTTTAAAAGTACTTAAGTACCACAAGTAAATTTCCTTTTTCAAACCTGCTTTAAAACCCAGCAACACAACTGTAGCTGTATAGCCTCAGTATACTGTAACTGCTGTATAACAGCAACACTGCTTTCTTTAACAAAACAGCAAAGCAGGCAGATTTATTTGACATCAAATCAAACATTGAGAAACGCTCTCTAATCGCTCAGTGCTGCTTCAGTCAAACACCTACAGTATTGAGTTCTGTTAGGAGACAGCAGCTCTTCTGTGGCTTTATAGGTATTGTTTTCATTTACACAGTTTAGCAAAATCAGACAATATTGTGTCTAATACATACCACAATATTAACTTCTTATTATTGAATTGTTGTAAATAAATATCACATTAGCAGCTGGTCAGTGTTCAAGAAATGCTGAGAAATCACTCTGTGTAACCCTCGAGTGATTACTGATAAACTGTCTGGGAAAAAAACAGTTTTAGAGAAGAAGAAAAAATCCCTCGCTGACTCTCAAAGCTGCAGCATACTTCGAGGACCTTGATAGAAATGTATTGGAGTGAAAAGTATGATATTTGTCTTACAGAAAAAAAATATTACTCAAGTAAAGTACAGATACGTAAAGGTGTTCTTAAGTACAGTAATCATGTAAATGTACTTCATGTCTTGTGGATTCAGATCAAACTCCACGCACCTGAAAAGGCCTGAATAACAGGTAAAGCTCTCTGGGTTTGATGTCCAGCGGCAAGCCACTGACAAACAGAGTCCTGACCTGCAGAAAAACCAGAAACAGGACTCTCTGCATCTGATGGGTCAACACTCACAGTATTACAGACAGTTTACTGTATGTCAGAGTACAGAACTAGAGATCAGAAGACAATCATAATGACTGAGGAGAGCACAAAAGCCAAACCAGAGAGCCATGACGGAGATTATGCACTGCCAGCTTTAGTTTGTCTGACATTAGGAGTAACTCACCTGTTCTCCTGGGCTGCTGCTGTTGTTCATTCTGGAGCAGAAGAATGCAATTATAAGCATGAGCTCGTGCAGCGCGTCTGTCTGTGCGCGCGCTCCCGCGGGCAGAGGCGCGTCACCGCGGCGGCGTGCGCGAGCATTCGCATTTCCATTGAAACGTGAGCAACAATAACCTTTTATTTAACTCTTTTCGTCTCTAGCATGACAAATGGTGAGTGATGCATTTATAAAACGCTGCTGGTGATATGAATTAGAAGTTTGCCACAAACATTTAAAGTGTTACTCTAAGAGGAAAAAATAAATAAAGTGTACAGAAATAATGCAGAGTAGGTGACAATTCCCATCAGAAGTTCAAACCCTGATGCAAAGGGCATCTGTCAGAGCAGCTTAAGCAGAGAATCACTGCCCTTTATTGCCCACAGACTAGCTGTTTGCTATTTATACACACTGTCATACACAATAAAATTAGAACTTATATTTTCTATATTATCAGCGATCAAAAATGCTGAATTTAATATGCATGTGCCACAATAACAGAAATCATAGTCAAACAGGTAAGAGGGAAAAGAACAGCGCATCAGGGGCATGCTCCACACGGAGTTATTTTAAAGATATTTGCTTTGCATGCTCATTTGTAGTTACTTTAAGGTATTTTTTAAATATTTGTATTACCTTATATGTCCAAAACTGTAATTTTTCACAAATAAATAATCATAAATAAATAAAAAACATCATGTTGTAACATTTTACAAAAATCAAGATATATTTGTATATATATATATATATAATATATTTGGTCAAAATCCCATGTTATTAAGATGAAGTGCTATTAAAGACAATATTGTCTGATTAGACGGCAATGCTGACCTAAAATGCAAAATGTTCGCCCATTCTCTCGCTTCAACGTTCCCACATCTCAGACCTCAAATTCATAAAATATTACCGTTTAGACATAGTTTTTGAAGTAAAAAGAAAATACCCCCCCCCATAAAAACACTTTCTCATTGGGTTTAAGCAAATCTCATTGGTGAACCATTTTGAACTCAAAAAAGGCCAGTTGTCACTGAAAGGTGAGGAGTTTGCTTCTATGTCTGTCATTTGGCGCCACCGTGTGGAGAAGAAAAGAAACACAGAGACAGTGAGACGTGGAGGTGTATTTAATGTGTCCTCAATAACTTACAACACAAGCTACGACACTCTAACACAGAAACAGCGCTGATATCTGAGACGCTCAGCTTCTCGCCGGAGTGGAGCTTGCTTTCACGGTCTTCTTCAGATGATGGTAATTGGGCAGGATCTTCATCAGGAAGTCCAGCTGCAGCGTTTGAGGCTAGAGAGGACAGAGACGGTCAGAATAGCAGCAGGTTTCTCAGGTGTATCAGAAACACACGGTGTGTGTGTGTTACCTGCGGTCTCTCGGTCTGCACGCGTCTCAAACACTCAGAGCCGTAGATCACGGTGTTTTCTGGAATCACTTCACAGGTGTTCACCGCACAACACGCTCCCACGATACACCCGCTGCTGAGGATCACACTCCGGCCCACTTCAGCTGAACACGCACATTAACACATTAACACATTAGACACACACACACACACACACACACACACACACACAGAGAGAGATAGGGAGACACACACACATTAAACACACACACACAAGTCACCTTTATTTATATAGCGCTTTTAACAATACAGATTGTGTC